CGATGCTCCCGCCCTGCGCGCTGCTCCTCCTCCTCCACGCGGCGCGCGCCGCAGAGCGCTCCGAGGCCCCTGCGCCGGCCAACGCCTCCTGGGGCAACCTCTCCCTCTCCGACTGGCCCCGCCTCGTGGGCCGGGGGCGCCCCGGGGCGGAGTCCCAGCAGCCCGCGGCCAAGGCTCTGCTCGCCCTGGCCTACGCCTGCACCATCGTCTGCTCCCTGTTCGGTAACGTCCTGGTCTGTCACGTCGTGTTCAAGGACCGGCGCATGCATTCGGCCACCAGCCTCTTCCTCGTCAACCTGGCGGTGGCGGACATCATGATCACGCTGCTCAACACCCCTTTCACCCTGGTAAGGGACCTGTCCGGCCCCTCGGCGCGCTCCCGGACGCTCCAGTGCGCCCTCCTCCCGCGTCTCCCATCCCCAGCGCGCTTCTTTTCTGTCACCTCTGCCTGTCCTCCTATCTTAACGTCTCTTTTCCGTGTTGTCACTCACCTGTACTTTCTTATCTCTCAACTCTCCGGTTTTTCTTAGTCTGTCTGATGTCTGTTTCCTTCGCTCCCCCTCCCCTCCTCACTGACCTTTTCTTGTAATTTTTTCTGTAGTCTCTCGCCTCCTCATGCTATCCGTCATTCCCTCCCTCCCTTTACACTTTTTTACCGACCTTATTTTCTAAGCCAGAGCTTCTGCAGCTGTGGCTGTGGGTCAGTGATTTGAGAATCAGCAGCCCCCTGTGGGTGATTGACCATCTGCTGTTTAATCTCACTGGACATAGGCTTTTTCAATTACCAAACAGTAGCTCTGAAGTGTTAGCAGAGTTTATTAGGGCCCTGACCCTCACTTCAGTGCAGCCTATGAGATCCCTTTACCCACCCATACGGTGCCACTTTGTGTTACAACTGAAATTGCAAACAGTTGCTAATACGTAAGGGAGCCTAAGTGCCCTTTCCCAGACTGCTTATTTAAGTTGCATTTCTCTTCTGTGGTTTGACAGTGAGGTTGTGTATGCCGTCTAGCTGGAGAGAAGCGAAAGTGAGGTGGACTTGGACCTCGAGGGGCAGGTCTGGGGCGCTGTGCACCGGTGGTGAATGGCTCCCTCCTCAGTCCCTGGCTGCCCATTACCGGAGCCATTTATGCCCGCCCCCCTCGTTCCCCGTGCAGTTCTCATGGATGAACTGGAACTGTGAGGATTGAAACCGAGCAATCATAACGCAGTAATGCAGCATGTATCTATAACCTGAGTTACATGTTCCAATTTATTGAATAATTTTATTGTTATTTGAGTTATTACAAAAGCAGATTCTGTTTATCTCCCTCTTGTCTCTGCATCTGTCTTCTCCTCAACACACACACACAAGGAGAGAGAGAGAGAAAGAGAGAGAAGAGTAAAAAGAAGTGGATGAAGTCCTGCAAGTCCATCTATCTGTTTGTGTGGATGTCCTTCCAGACGTTACATCTCCGAAGTACTCTTGCATTCTTTCTCTATTCTCTCTTATGAGAACATTAATCACATTGTGCAGATAAGGCAGCTGAGGCACAGAGAGGTTCAACCCCTTGTCCAAGGCTACCTGACTGGTCATAGGCAGAGCCAGGATGAGAATTACATCCCCTAACTCAGGTCCAGAGGTCTGTCCAGGAGACACTCATGGGGAGGACTTTTTGGCCCACGTTTAGCTTCCATTGCTCCAGATCATGGATTTTTCCTATTCTCCTTCCAGCCTACATCTAACCTATTGATGGCCACTCTGAATTGTCTAGGCACTAACCAAGGACAAGGGGGCTTCCAAATCACATCTGCTCTGCTCCGTTGATGCACAAGAAAGCAGATCTGTGGCTGTCCTTGTTTCCTTCTTTGATTTCTGACCTGAGAATGGGGTGCCGGAGTGGGGCTAGGCCACCCAGGATGAGAACCAGAAGGCCCCCAGGCATGGCCTTGGTTTTTCTTCCCAGAGCCAGGCTGTGGGGAGGGACCTGCCCAAGACACAAGAGGGTTGAGGAAGTCCTAGAGTGGGTCTCAGCTAGCTATAGTTTTGAGTTGGAAACCTTGCCCTAGAGGATTTCCCACAAGAGAGGATGTCAAGGTCCTGAAAACTTAACATACATCCCTCCACCCTCCCAGCGTGAGCCAAAGAAGTTTGGCTTTGAACCAGACCCATTGAACTGCCCAATCCAAACTCTTCTTAGAGTTTACAAAGTGCTGGCCACAGGGAGAGGGAGACTTGGGGATGGTCTTCTAACCCCTCAGCCTGCTCAGCACAGTCTCCAAAGTGGGCTAAGCCATCTACCTTCAGCTGGTTGGCATCTGTTTACCTCCCTCCCTGGTCTCCCTTCCCAGTTACTTCACACACTGCAGTCAGCATGAAGCCCAGCTCTCATCATTGAAAGAACAGCGAACAGGAGACACACATAAAACATAGCAGAACCTAGAGGAGGAAACCTTTTATTTCAACTCTGCAGAGACCCATGAGAGGGTCAAAGGAGACGTTGCAAAGACATTTCAGTGGGTCCGGAATGAGTAGCGGTTTCCTGGTTGAGGTGAAAGCTTAGTGTAGCCAAGGGTCTGCAATAAACAAAGGCAAGGAGGCCTCCACGTTCATGGTATGTTGAAGGAACACTGAATGGCTCAGTTTGGCTGAAGCAGAGAGAGAGGCACAGAGGAGAGGTGGGCAGAAGAAGACAGGCTAGCCAGGGAGGCTGGGGCCAGGTTTGCATGGCCTGGATACTCCTGAGGCATCTGCCTGTGTCCTGAGCTCATGATGTTCAGAAGGAAGCTGGCAACAACCTGATTTTTCAGTTAAGATACACATTGCCAGCAGTGTGCAGGATGAATTACAAGGGGTCAAGACTGGAGAATAGGGAAAGCTGATAGGAGGCTAACAGGGCCATGGCCTTGAGACTGAAGAAGAGAGAATGGGTTTGAAATCTATTTGAGGTTTGGCTTTGGTCATCGTGGGGAGAGATGCAGATGCAGCTTCAGCTGAAAACTTCTAGCTCTTTAATGCTGCCGAACTGTTCAAAAGCTCTAAGTGGCTCCATGCTGAACCCTGCCCCCCTCAAATAAAACCTGCGATCTGATGTCCTCAGTTTGTGAGCCTGGCCAGCCTTGTCCCTACTCTCATGCACACACTGCAGCCAAATCAACTCACCCTTCCTCAAACAGACCCTGGGATTTCTGATCCAGCACCAATACCTGTTGTTCAGATGCCCACATGTACAAACCCTTCCTCATCTCAGCTGTGCCCTTTGTGGTCACAGTGGCAGTTCACAGGGCCACTTCCTCAGTGAAAAGGTAGCCCTGTTTCATAGATGAGGATAGTGAGGCTCAGAGGGCTCATGTCCCCTGCCCACAGTGACAGTGTAAGGGGCAAAAACTCAGCTGTGACTCTCCACACCATACTGTTTCTATTGGATGACTTTCCCTGTTCCTATTATCACTTTCTTCCTCTACCCACTCCCACTCTATCCACTGACCCGTTGTCCTCTGTCGGGGCCTTTGTAGGGCATTGCCTCCTTTCCATCTCTTTTCCGTCCTTTTCATATCTGCGTGCTTCTCAGCCTAGCTTGGAAGTCCTTGACCAGAATCTGGCTTGACCTCTCCTGGGCATGAGACATCACTCAGAGGAGCTGCTTAGACACTAAATGAGTGAGCCAGCAGCCCAGGATGATGCAGAGGAGGACTGAAATGGCGCCTCAGCCCAGCTCTCCCTATTCTGACCCACACCTCTGTCTTAGTTACTTTTCTCTCATTGCTGAGACAAAATACCTAGCACCCACCCACAAGTTAAGGGAGGAAAGGTTTGTTTAGCTCACAGTTTGTAGAGGTTTTAGTACATAATCAGCTGGCTTCATGGCAGGGTAGCTCATGGCAGAGGAGCAGCAAACAGTTCATAGTGGCAAAGACAGCAAAAGCAGCAAGGGAGAGACACAGAGAGGACAGGCCTCTTTCTGTCCCTTATATTGTATGCAGGCTACCTGCCCTAGGCAGGTGTAGCATTCACACCCTTACTCCCAGCACCCTTAATCCCAGCATTGCATTACAAATCAGTTACACGCTCTAGGTCCTGCTACCTCCAGAACAGCCCCATCTAAAACTGCATGAGGGGCAGTGCACGTGTATTGGCTGTACTGAGGTTGTGGTAGCAATGGACGCCTTGGACAGAGTTGTAAAGCCCAAAACAAAAAGGGCCAAGAGATTCCTTGAGAAGAGAGAACCAAAACTTAGTGAAAATATTAAAAATGCCATGCTGATTAAAGAGGGAAATGCAAATGCATCAGTGACCCAAGTCCTGAAAGAAGTGTATGCACTGAAAAAACCATATGAGTTCTGTATAAAAAGAAAAATATTACAAGACCATTTGAGGATCAGACATCACTGGAATTCTTTTCAAAGAAGTCATTGTTCTTTATTCGTCTTTGGATCCCATAATAAGAAGCCTCCCAATGACCTAGTTATAGGTCGTATGTATGACTACCATATGCTGATATGATTGAATTAAGTGTTCAGAAATTTGTGTCTCTAAAAGATATTAAGAACAGTAAATGTCCTGAGGGAACAAAACTCATGTTAATATTTGCTGGCAATGATTTTGATGTGACAGAAGACTGCAAAAGGCTAAAAAGTCTTTTCATTGATTTCTTCAGAGGCCCCATGGTGGAAAATATCCACCTGGCTGGGTTTGCATATGTTCTGCACTTCACTGCTCTGAAGGGGAAGGTTTACTTTCGCAGCTATAAGTTACTCTTCACAAAATCTGGCTGCACAGCACCACAGATTGAGTTGGAAGAGATGGGGCCGTCACTGGATCTGGTTCTCAGCAGGACACACCTGGCTTCAGATGGCCTTTATAAGCTATCCATGAGAACACCAAAAGCTCTCAAGCCAAAGAAGAAGAAAAACATGTCCCAGGATACTTTTGGTACAACTTACAGAAGGATTCATATGCAGAAACAAGACCTAAGCAAACTACAAACCAGGAAAATGGAGGGATTAAAGAAGCGACCTGCAGAAAGGCTAACAGAAGATCAGGAGGAGTCAAAAAGAATTAAAAACAATTAATAGAACTTAAAATAAAATAAAACTGCATGAGGCTTTGGAGGGGATATCTAGACCCAAACCAAAACACCTCTTTAAACCCTGGAGTCTCTTTCCTAGATTGAGTTGCAAAATTGGCTTAGTCTAAATTTCCCTGCACAGCCCACCCACTGTAGTGTGACTTTTCAGATGTGTCTCCTCATAGACTGAACTCTCTGGGGCCAAAAAGGAATTTTATTATTACACATAAAATATCTACTACTGATTTCTAATAATGACTTTCTAAGAATTGTCCAGATATCTTTTTCAGACTTTACAATAATCCTATAGAGAGTTTGAAGCTACTTAATTTTTGCAAATGAGGAAGCTGAGGTTCAGAGAGATTACATATATTGCCTAAGGTGCCATAGCAATAAACTGTTAGAGTGAGGAAATCCAACTCCAAACAAAGCCCATGTCCTTCCAAATCTCTTCTGATACCTAATGGTCTTAAAAGCATGATCAGGGTATGTTTAAGTGAAGAAGGAAATGAGAATGCTGGAGAAAATCACATGTGATCCACAATTGGCATTGTAAATGGAAAGAAAGAAGGAGCTGGGAGAGCTGGAGAGGCCTCCTCAGGGTCTGCTCCTCAGAGACTGATCGTTGAGGGTTGGAGGTGGGTGTCAGAGTCAAGGCCCATCTGTCTCCTAACCTGCATTTGCTGGTCTCCAGGTCCGTTTTGTGAACAGCACGTGGGTGTTCGGGAAAGGCATGTGCCACATCAGCCGCTTTGCCCAGTACTGCTCCCTGCATGTCTCGGCGTTGACACTGACAGCCATCGCTGTGGACCGCCACCAGGTGAAGACAACTACACCCAACAGTCTCCCTTTCCTCCAAGGCCTTGCTTTCCTGGAGTCTGTGGGAAACACTCTTAAGATAGTGAGTTAGGGCCCAGGATGTAGCTTAGTGGCATAGCGCGCACCTAGCAAGTGCAAGGCCCTGAGTTTGATCCCTGGCACCAAAAAAAAAAAAAAAAAAAGATAGTGTCTTAGCCCAGTTTTCAATGAGTACCTTTGTGTTCTTATTGATTGTATGAGCTTGTAGGTTAGACATATCAAGCCCTTTGTCCTGCTTTGTGCCAAAAGTTATTTCCAGTTGGTTGTTCTAATGAAGACTCACTGGTGGCATTTTTCTGCCTCAGAAATTAACAAACTTGTTTTTGAGAAGCAAACCTAGAAAAAAATCACAGGTGAAAAGTGCAGGAAATAATTGCAGATCAGAGATAAGGCTCTTGAGTAGGAGGTAGATGTTCACTGTCCCAGGCATTTGAGAAGAAAAACAAGACAGGATGTCCCGGTGGCAGGACCAAGCATCCAGGGGTCATGGTGGTGCTGAGGTGAAGACATAGAAGCACATGGGTGGATATGGTGGTGGAAACCCAAAGAGGACCTGAGGGTGACCATCTTGGAAGGGGATGGTGCCGTGCCAGGTGCTTCCCCCATGCTAATCCAGTGTACCTGTATTTTATGTTCAGAATATGCTCAGTCAAGGAGAAGAGGCTCAGGGAAGTGCATGCATAGCTTCTCTGAGATCACACGACTGTGAGTGATGAAGCCAGAATTAGAACTTAGGTCTGCCTGGCTCTGACCTCATGCAGTGATCACTACACTACACTGTGCTGAGAAGACTCAAAGGCACCTACAAAACCAGTATCATCAAGGCTACCAGGACAAAGTGAGATGGGATTTATCCTGAGTAGCACCAAGAGGTACAGCAAAGACTAAAGAATAGGGGACTTCAAAGATGCAAACACAAAGGTGTAGTCCAGTGTGAAGAATAATTTTCTAATAGAAATATCTAAAGATGCAAAGCTATCTATCTGGGAGGCAGCAAGTTTCATCACCACCTGTAGCTAAGCTAAGTTTGGATGACAACTTGATAGGAATGTTTTTGAAGAGACTCATACATGTGATAAGCTATTGGACTAGATAAACTTTGTGATCTCTTCAGCTCCAAAATGATTTTATTTTGTAAAAATCAACTCTTCATATGTATTGTAGGTACTTTAGAGCAAAGTGTAAAGATCTCAAAACAAAAGTTTCTTGCTTTTTCTTAATCTCTTCTAATTCAGTAAGAGCTATGAGTTAGTTTTACCTGGCCTACTTTTAAGTCTGTTTAACACAGCTGAAGAGAGTAGACCCATGGGCCAAGAGTGGGGCTGAGGATCGGTGTTATTCACACTGACTATGTTGCTGTGACATATACTCAAACATAAAGCCTAGAGCCAAAGCCAGTGGCGGGTGTTTGGGGAGCAGTGTTTGGGGTCTCTGCCCAGACTGCCACTTCCCCTCGCAGCCTGAGCACAGGGGCAGGAAGGACAGGGATGGCAAAGACCAGGAGATGTATTGGACAGCTTTGAGGCCTCCAAATATCCTCCCATAAGACTGTGAAAGTACTGGGAGGAAAAACTCCTGAGGACACATCCAGAATGTCACATGTTTTGGAATGGCATCCTGAGGTAACAGAAGTTCTCTTCTCACACCTGGAACTCACTTATCCCCCAAATGCTTTTTTTTAGAAGAAGTAATAATTCTCATCTTACAGTGATGGTGCTCTAAAATTTCCAGGTTTTTATTTAAGCCTCTCAGAAGAACTGACTGACATGCAGTAGCAATTCCAAGATGCATTTCAGCCTGAAGCTAGAAACACTGGCTTTACTATAGGCACAGGAAAGCTGTATGCAGTTTTAACAACAGCTTTCAAAAATGGCATTATGAGCTCCCAAATAAGTCTCAATGCTGCTTTCCATGATATGTGGTGAGAACTTGCTTTTCATGTCCACTGACCTCAGACCTTTCCAGAGCCCTTCAGAGTCACAGGACTGTAGAGTCATGGGAAGATGAGATCACGAGGTGGTAGAGGCTGAGCATGAGCTTGTCTTCCCCAGCCCCTCCCACTGCAGCAAGAGGCATGCAAATGGCCCGGAGTCTAAATCCAGAAGACATCCTGTCCTCTTTTCTTCCCTGGAGGTGGGGCAGGACTCCCCAGCACTCAGGCGCTCAACAATGAGCAGAAAGGACCTGAACTTTATAAATAGGACCTGCCTTATGTGACAAATGAGCTGTGTCATCTGGATTTTTTTTTTGCTTCAGTCTTCTTCAACTAATGATGCAGTTTGCTTATTTTCCAGGTCATTATGCATCCATTGAAACCCCGGCTCTCAGTCACAAAGGGTATCATCTACATCACTGTGATCTGGATCATGGCTGCATTCTTTTCACTCCCTCATGCTATCTGCCAGAAATTGTTTACCTTCAAGTACAGGTGAGAGGAGTACAGCCTGGGACTCAGAGGAACTTGCCCCCTCCCTGCCTTTTCTCAGCTGACTGGGAGTCTGGCAAAGGATGGTGGGAGTCCCATCTGGATCTACAATTTCTCAGTTACTATCACCTGCCTCGCTGTACCCCTTACCCTTCTGTTTGCTTGTTCTTTTCAGCTTGTCTTGCTTCTGCCACTGTGGTCATGTGCTCACCCAAACTGAGGTGGGAATCCAAATGAGCAGGGTTTAAAGTCTTACTTGACAGAGAAACAAAATACATATGTATGTTTGTGCGAGAGGGAGGATTATCTACCTCCCTCTACCTCTCATTCAGGTTTCTTCATTATGTGCTCTTGCCATGAGGATTTCTTTCATTTACACACTGACCTTTTAAGCAGGCCGGTTCATTAATGTCTAAATCCCTCCAGACTGTAAGTTTAGAAAGTTGGCTGCATTTGGGATTTGCTACCTCAGTGATTCTAACACCTGCATTAGTTTTTCTATATATCAAGCCTAAATGTACATTTACTGAATGAGGGAAGCAAGGAAGGATTGTAGAGTGATTTTAAGCATTCTACATTTGTTTTGGGTGAGGTTCTTTATGAACGAGTCCTGTGATAAAGACAGGTACACCTGGAAGTGGTTTGTTAAGGCTACAAGACCAGGAGTGATGGGTGAGGGGGCAGGGAGGCAGGCAGGATGGGAAGGGGCACAGACCACCCAGGGTTTGATTTCAGGGCTAGCACGGGGGCTCTGGAGCAATCTGCTTACCAGAGTTTGGGCAGAGGAGCTGGGCTTTCGCATTTCTTGTTAGTCATTTGCTCCAGGCATTCCTGGGTACTTCTGGTGCTAGGTAAATTTGTGGGAAGGGTTGTAATTCTAGGAACCTAGAAGATTATAGGTGCCAGCCAGCTGCTTCTGGCTGTGTGGGCTGGAGTTGGGGGCTGGTACTGTGACTGGTGAAGGATCCTAGGGGATTGTCGGTGTCTGCTGTGGTCGCTGTGACGTGCTCCTGTGACAGAAGCAGGGTCAAGAGATGAAGGCTCTGCAGGCTGATTTCAACTAGCTTTTAAAAACTTTCTCCATGAATCCTAGGGTGTTGGAATGAATCGCACACCCAGGCTTCCAACATTCAGTCTCCCTATCTGCCTTTACATGGAAGACTTTTTTTTCTAACAGAAGCAAAGGGCTTTTTCTCTTCTTTTGTTAGTGATGGTCACCAGCTTCACAGGAAGACCAAGGTACATCCTGTGTGAAATAGATCCTTGTCAATGAGTGGCTAAAGGAATAGGAAGTTGGTACCATAGGAAATCCTAAGATTTCCTCAAGGATGCTTTTGTTTGTTAAGCGTAGGAACTTCACTACTGTTGTAGTCATTCAGCAAATATCTGTTGGATCTCTACTGTAGGCAGGAACCGTGCAAGCATAAGAGGATACAGAGAGGTTCAGGTGTCTTCCTTATCTTTCAGGACCTCCGAAACTTGTGGGGAACCAGAAATATGATCAGATTTTTAGGCAACAACATCAAAAGTACAGTAAGAGACAGATGTGCCTGAGCCCATGGGAGGGGAAGGCCACTACTTCTTAGGATGAATCTTTTCCACACACATATCTCTTCCGTGTCCCACTCTTTCTCTCTCCCTCCTCCCTCCCTTCAGCAAGGACATCGTGCGTTCCTTGTGCCTACCAGACTTCCCTGAGCCAGCTGACCTTTTTTGGAAGTACTTGGACCTGGCCACCTTCATCCTGCTTTATGTCCTTCCTCTCCTCATCATCTCTGTGGCCTACACCCGTGTGGCCAAGAAGCTGTGGCTGTGCAGCACAATCGGTGATGTGACCACAGAGCAGTACCTTGCCCTGCGGCGCAAGAAGAAGAAGACCATCAAGATGCTGATGCTGGTGGTGGTCCTCTTTGCCCTCTGCTGGTTCCCTCTCAACTGCTATGTTCTCCTCCTGTCTAGCAAGGTCATCCACACTAACAATGCTCTCTACTTTGCCTTCCACTGCTTTGCTATGAGTAGCACCTGCTACAACCCTTTTATCTACTGCTGGCTGAACGAGAACTTCAGGATTGAGCTGAAGGCATTACTGAGCATGTGCCAAAGGCCACGCAAGCCTCAGAAGGATAGAGCACCATCCCCGGTCCCTACCTTCAGGGTGGCCTGGTCAGAAAAGAACAATGGTCAGAGGGCTCTGCCAGCCACTAAGCTCTTGCCTTCCTCCCAGCTCTGGTCTGGGAAGACAGACCTGTCATCTGTGGAGCCCATTGTGGCAGTGAGCTAGAGAAGGTTGTAAAGAGACAGCAGGTGGGATCTGTCTGCAGCTGAGAGGGGAAAATAACCTGTCCTCTAACACAGGATCTGTACAATGCTGGAAACAAGTCCCTGCAGAAGCAATAGGACTCTTGATTTCCTGCAGAAATGCCCAACCTCCCAGCTCCATTTGATGCAAAAACTAAAGGTCAACTGTCAACAGTCCTCTGTTTATAAATTCCTACCTGGGAGATGCCGTGAGCTATAGCACCCTGGATCCTTGAGCAAGAGAACCAAGGGCAACCCCTACTCCAATGGGGGTGGAATCATTCAGCTGGCTGCAGCTGCTGGGCAGCTGTCTTCAGCTTTTCCTACTGCTGACTGAACATTCACACAGGAAATTTGAGTGACTCTGAGTGTGGCTGACCCAAAAGCACAGAGCTCTGCTGAAGACAGGCTCACTGGTCAGTGAGGCATTAGCAAGTGGAGTGGACAGAGGCTCCCAGCCTTGCCTTCTGAGGTCACTGGAGCTGTGAGGAGTCACAAGTCTTTAGTGGTCTGACCCTACACATAACATGAAAGAATCAATTTAGTTCCTTACAAAGAGAAATTATTATTACCATTTTGAAACATGCAGCAAAGCAAAAAAAGGAATTAAAATTGCCCCCTAATCTCATTGATTTGTGATAACTTCTTTCAACATGCTGTGGATATATTTACAACTTTTTCCACTGTGTGTGTGTGTGGGGGGGGTGTGGGGGGTTTGTATGCACACTTTTTTAAAATTCTGAACTACACTTTGCCATTTAAATTGTAATGATCAGCAAGAAACAGAGGGGTAGCTGAGGACTTTGAACCCATCTCCGAGGCATAGTGTCTACCACAGTAGTAAGGAAGAAGGGAGAGAAGAACCCAAGATGAGGATTGTTGCCCCGCAGACAGAGCCTCCCTGTCAGTGGTGGGCAGGGCCTGGCCACAGTCTCTGCCTTCAGACGGAGACCATCAAAGGCTCAGCCACAGGGTATAACTCCTTCTTTCCTGCCATCACTCAAAAATAAGAGGGGTTGGAACAGTGTTCTGTTTTCACAGGAGATGAGGAAGCAGGCTTTCCATCGTGCTGGAAATAATTGTACTTAGGTACCACATCCACACATACTGTCTAGATAGGCCATTTCTTCTTCACATTGTTTGAGTAATGAGGTTTTTTTCACACCAGTTCCTGAAAGAAGACTCACTGTTAACTTCTCCTTAGCAATTCAGGTGTCACTTCCAAAATGTATGGGATCCTTAAAGAAACCTTTTTTCTTAAGGACCCACTTGCCAGAGAAATCTCATTCCAGAGACTGAATGTTTTCATCACTTTCCATCTGGTCCTGAGTGACTCATGGTGTCATCCAGAGACAGATGTGACAGGCAGAGTAGAGCTTAATTCCAGCCTAGAATAGTTGCTGTTGCCATGCTGAGCTATTTCCATTTTAGCCCTGGAGAGATCTGGAAAGCAAAGCAGGTATCTGTAGCTGAGTGGAAAACTGAGGTTTGGGGTAGAAGGAGTTTGTGCAGTATTCACTTAGACTTCTTGGCTGTTAGTTGAAACTAAACTTGGTTACACTGGCTGCTTCTCTTTAATAAACAGTAGGGGTTCCTTAGTCTATTGTAGGGGTTCCTTACTCTATTGGAGTCACCACCTTAGGCTATTAGAAAGTTTTCAAGATAGAAAAAAATCAGATTACCTACTGAACTGTAAATTAGAGGAAATTACTTGCATAGGGCAGAGAGTACTTTCTCAGTCCAAAGGGGTTCCCAGATGGGGTTTTCAGGCCAAATGGCTCATGTGCATATCCTTTGTCTGTGTGATGTCAAGAAGCAGCTATTAGTTACATCTTAATGCTGCCATGGAAACTCTACAAACCAGAAATGATAACAAGCAGCAGGGATGCTGAAAGTGTGTCCTGTCCTCAGACTCATGGGGAAAGCTTCTATCTCCCTACTATGAGTTTGTCCATAAATATTGCCAACTCACTGTGGAAACCCTCAGGTCTAGGTCTCCAGCTGGTACCTATCTGCAGCCTTCCACATGTTCCCTGTGTAACTCAGAGCAAAAATGACTTGTAATTGTGAATGTGAAATTTGTAAAACTTAAGTTTTTCAATGTGCTGTAGAAAATGCATTGTCATTTGTTCTTGTCTCAGTAAAAGCGTTTTGGATGTGTGAACTGTGCCTGTTGAACTTGTGACTGTGTCACCATTGATACTTTCAATGAGGATACGTATGGATTATTTGAAGGGAGCATGGAGATTATCACCAAGAGCCTGAATTTCAGGTGAGGAAACTGAAGCATTAAGAGGGTAAATAACCAACTGAGAAACCTCTGATTCCTTATCCAGAGCTGAATTTTCTGCCAAGTCCTCTCTTTGGTGATGATGAATCTGTGCTGCATGTTTAAACCCCAAGCTCCATCTGTTCCTTGGTAATTCAGGGGGAAGCAAAGCTACCACTGGACCTAAAGAGCCCTTGTAGTATGTGGTGGTCACCACCTGCCCTATGTCTTCCATGATTTCTGCTGTACCATGCCTGGGTTCCAGCAAGTAAACTGGGTGGAAGTCTTCACTGCATAATTATGCTGATGCCATCTAGAGCTTATGTTAAAATCAATTTTAAACAATTTCTCAAGCAGTTGTAAATAGGAGTGATTTGCTGAGCCTGCAGGAAAATTTGAAAGAAAAATGAAAGGCAAATGAGACAAAAAGCACAAGATCCAGTGGCACAGTCTTTGTACAGTACTGTGCTAAGTGCTTCTGAGCTCATTATCTTTTTCACTCTCACAACAGGCCTCCAAGTGTGGGCATTATTGTTTCTGATTTTTAGATGAGGTAACTGAGGATCAGCAAACTTAGCTGACTTGGTAAAAGTCATACATCTAAATTGCAAAAATATCACCCCCTTAGAGATTAGATTCTGAGAAAGTGTGCAGAAAAGAATCCTACTATTAAAAAAATCCAGGCTTCTCCAAATTTTTTTTTGATTGTGAGTTTTTTTGGATAAAATCTGTTATCTTCCTATAATCCAGTGCTTGAATTACGTATTCTAGGAAATGTTTGACCGGGTGAATCTCAAAGGGCCTTGCAGCTCTGTGATCAATGAATCCATGGTTCCAGTCCAGGCAGAATCGTGTGTCTGCCTTGTAATCTCAGTTCTTGTTAGAACTGTCTTCAGACAAGCTCCTAAGTTGCTCCCATGTGCTGGTTCCTACTTGACTGGGCATGGTACGGTGCCAAGGCAAATATCTATCCTATAGTCAGCCTGGGCTTCAAAATCCTCAGATAACATACACACAAATCAGCTAAGCCCTCATTGCTGCTGAGGTTATTGTGACATGACACTAGAGCCTCTGGTGATGAGAGCCCTTCAGGGTATCTGGGACCAGGGAGGAATTTGGTGGGCTTGAAACATTCATGAGGAAACATACCTTTGTCACTGTGCAATCTAGAGAAGGTGGTGTAATAGCAGAATTCGGGTTGTATTCCATAAGACACTGAGTCTTTTGAGAACAAAACCAGAGTTTATTTAATTTTGAGGCTAGCCACCCTTTCTCCCATTTGCCAATCAGGGAAGTGGGCAAGTGGACCTGCCTTTGTCCCACCTTATATACATTTTTTGTTTCCATGGTAACAGATTGGAATGTTGTAGCCCTGGCCACATGTTTTCCTTGTGCCACATAACCAGGTCAGGCTCCGGGAATGAGCCCAACTACAATGATATATACTTTCTGTACTCTGTTCTATATGTCCCCCTTTAGATAACCATACATTTCCTTTATGGTTACAATGTTTATCTAGGGCCAGGGAAGGGATGAAACAACCCAGGCAGGGTCATAGGTGGTTATCTGGGCCCAGGTGTTCTTTATCTTTGGAGAAGCATTCCAGGGCTAAGTCAGGACTGCAAAGTTAACTTTTTACACCCCCTCCAGGATGTTTCTCAAGACACATTTTGAGGATTGTATGAAGACTAGAATTATTCTACTTAAAATGATATGCTGAGAGTCACCATCCCCTCCAGTGGACACCTGCTGCCAGCGTCCTGCAGCTGTGAGGGCTGATCATCAGCATCTTCCTTCAGAATCTCTGTGCACCCACTCCCTGCTAATTCTCTTTCATTTCAAGGGACAGTTAGGGAAGGGGAAAAATAAATAAATACATGCAATGCTAAGTGCATTTTGAAGAATGAAATAAAAAACATATTTAATTTAATGTCAGAAAACCCCAGGCTCAGACTTCTTCTTTCTGAGGTCTCATAAATTATGTTGGAGAGAATAAACTCTTTGCTGCTTCATGGGAACAAAGTGCTTGAGTTTAGCATCTTCTCCTCTTCTCATGTTTCTAGCACAGCAGGGATCCTGACTTCATTTTGCTAAAAAAGTTTAAGGTGCTCAGCTTAAACATGAGGGAAGGAAAGGAGTCATGAACATGGGATTCAGCATATTCGTTATCACAGGCAGGGGAGAAAGGGTACAGGTTTGTGTGAGACAAGGTGGGCACAACGGGGTTAGATATAATTGTCCAAGTCTGAGCTTCTGTTTTGGACAGTGAGATTATGGGTGCTGAGTTCATACTGCAAGTAACTAATCATACCAGATAACTAAAAGAGTCTCATGCATGGACCAACGTTGAGAATGCCGTAAACCAAGGATTACAATTAACCCAGTGTTATATCCCTGTAGTCTATGCACAAATGAAAACAATAAATCAGGGGGGCTGGGGATTTAGCTCAGTGGCACAGTGCCTGTCTGGCAAGCGCAAGGTCATGAGTTCAATCCCCGGTACTGGAAAAAAAAACTCAAAAAACAAAAAATTAAAAAAAAAAAAATCAATGAAAATGGAGACTTAATGATCCAAGCCTTCACTTTTTTTCCGACACCTTCTAATCAAGTCACATCTGCATCTCTATTCTTTTTTTTATTTTAAAAAATAAAAGAAGGAAAACATATTAACAGGCATCCATTTACAAAATAGCATAAGAATAATACAAACAAAACAGAGTTACAGAGAAAGTTGTAGAAAATTAACCATGATTGTTGTATTACTTACTGATAACTTCAGAATGCTTTCTCAGGAAAGCAAATAGATACACAAGATTGATCAAACAAGTAATCATTATCAGCTCCTTTCTGTAGAGCAATATAACACAGTAGTACAACCAGGTTAGCTATCCTGTATATACATATTTACATAATTTCCCCTTCTTTCCCTTCTTTTTTCCCA